TATAAAACTGAGTTATATAGTCTTATTGCAAACACAGGTAAGGCATGAAATTGACATGGTTTCGTGACGTGAAAGGCAATTGTCAGTTTGTGAAAAGATGGAATGGTCGGTACTGTTGGTTTGCTATCGATAGTAGATAGTGAACCATAACAATATCTTGTAAGGCACGAAAAGCGAAGACACCGTAACGAGATTCACGTTTTCTGTTGTGCAGAGGTAAGCGTGTGGTGTAAAACTCACAAAATAGTAGATACAGAAGGTACAATCATCAAATTGATCCATAATTTCTTGCGATGTTTGCCTTTTGTTTTTTGTCATGAAATCTTTTATAACTCCGCAAAGTGAACTCAGTAACCCTAACTGCATGTATCCAGAGGAAGCAGTGCCCAAAAAGCGCTACTTCTTCTGGATACATGCTGTTACCATTTTGGTCATTCAGAAACGGGAAATAGAGCAGTTGTCAGAAATGTGTATTACCGAAGTCACGTAATTCAATTTTGGATTCTGGAATAGGATTGAGTTGTTAACTAAAACGGTAGCCATATGTGAGCAGATGAAAACGGGCCAAAAGTGACGATACAATACACAAAAACCGCGGTGCTTATGCTTCAGCGGTTCGTTTTATCAGAAGGAGAAGAATAGAACAGAATCAGATGAGAATACTTTAACATCTATGTCATTCTAGGAAGATCATAGTTCACCACGCGTTTAACTCTGATTGGACACTTAATCTCTTTACGGTGGTCTTCGCGGTACACATAAGAATAAAGAAGTACCAGCCATTCCATCTCATTTCAGCAAGCCACCAGCGATCGTAAGGTGTTACAGTGCTTGAGATGGTGGTCTTATCATGTAATCATATAGGTAAGTTGTGTGACCGTTTTATATATAAAACCAGTATTAAGTCTTGGCAGAATCTGGCTAGAATATCTGTTTACCAAAACCAAATAATCTGTTGTGGCTTCCAATCGGGTGTCTTTTCACAACAGAACTCGCCACGAAAGAAGGGCATTCGAAAAGACTTTTCTTTCAACTTTTCATAGTGTTTCCAAAAACGTTGAGATATTAGTAGTGGTCTTCGTTACGTTGAGGGTGTAGTCTACATACAAAAATTGACCCTTTATGTTTCGCTCCAGTTTACTTCTGACTTCTGACCCATTCTTACAAAAAAGCTTTGACTTATTTGTTTGCCTTTTTGTGGCCCAGCACTCTTGCTTTACTTGGAAATATCTCGAGTTAAGCCGCAACGAAGATTTTCGTAGATGGTTTATGCCTCCAAACATATTTAATTCACTTTTTTAATCCTTGCACGACCTTCTTTAGGCTATTTTGAATGATATTGCGCTTCGTGGAGAGCCAGGATCAGTGCTGGTGTTTTTGCCAGGATGGAATGAAATCATGCTTGTCATGAACTTTCTCAATGCACACTCGGAGTTTTGTGAGTTTTTGTGTGATTCATGTTCACACCATTCCTTTCAAATTATTGTAAAAGCAATACCTATTTTAGCGAATAAGTCGAAGTATGTGATCTTGCCGCTCCATTCGCAGTTGACCGGTGTAGAACAACGAAAAGTTTTCGATCATTATGGAGATAGCATGAGAAAGGTAAATATGCTACACTACTGTAATCGTAATAACTTCGTCGAAGTTCCGCATTGTTGTGTATGAGTGCCAGTTAGTCGTGTAAACGGTTTGTAATATCCATTTCGAATTCATAGCAGGGGTTGATTTTAAACCTTTATAGTTGATTTGGTGACGCATATTAATCAGTAATAGCTGTTGAACAGTAGACCTAACGATGGAAATGAAGCTTATTGCTATGCTTGTATTCATAATTATCCGATGTACGATTTAGAATAATACTTTCAGATCATATTAGCGACGAACATCGCTGAAACTAGTATAACCATAGATGATGTTGTCTTCGTGATCGATTCCTGCAAGTATGTTATTCATTTATTTATTTATTTAGGGCTATTGTTAAAATAATTAAATCGAATCATACAAGAAACGCAGATAAAAGAACAATTTACAATAGTTATAATAAATGTAGAAATCAATAGAATAAAATATGTTAGCAGAAAGAATTTACAGTTAAAGGAACATAAACAGCATTGATCAAAAGAAGGGTTCCTCTTTTGAGGGCAGTGAGGGACGAACGTGGGTGGGCCCATTTTGTGGAGAGGAAGGGCAATGGCCGCCAGCATTGCAAGCCGCGGGAGGGGGCGCGGCTCCGGGTACCAACTTAGAAGGCCCGCCAACCTCTCCAAGGGCCTGCGAGGGGGGGGTAAGGGGACTCCGGGGACTACAGACTCTGGCTAGCAAACATTCACCAAGAAGCAATTTGAACATTCAATATAGAGGACATAGAGGACCTTAGTTACCTTCAAGTTAGCCCTATCTGCTTGTGTGCTTCCGATTTAGTTGGAAACAGTTTCGGGTGTGGAAAACCATGCCAGGCATCCTTGACATTCAGAAAACCTGTTCTTTCGCGGAGACCGTGGATATTCCGAGACTGGATTTCTTTTTTTTTAAGGATGTTCCGCGTCCCTTGTGAGGAAGTTACTTTTATTGTAACTGCGCGAACACTAAAAATCGGAATTAGGTACTTAGATTTCACTTTCCACGAAACTGGTCAAATCTTTTCACAGAAAGGTGTACAGGGTCTTCTTGTGCTAATACTGGTTCTTCAAGTAATGCATCACTCAAATCGCTTCTTGGTATTTTTTGTAACGATTTGATCAATTTCATGCAAAATTGTACTCGCTAGTTGCTTAACTATTAAGCTTATTTTTCAATGCGCTACACTTTTTGAAATCGCTTTTAAGAGCCAAAGAGCGAATGTACACTTCCAACAACAATATGGTACATTTTGCGACGGTATGGGCATCACGCACAAATCTAGCACAACGGCGTGGTCGAGCTGGACGTGTACGCCCTGGATTCGCCTTCCATTTGTGTAGCAAAGCCCGATTCCAGGCGTGAGTCTTGTAATCATAAATGAATAGTTATTTTGTGCTCATGAACGATGGCTTTCGTGCTCGCATAAGTGGCCTCGTTTATAATTAACGGTCATTATAGCTTGGAAGAACATCGCACAGCTGAAATACTCCGTACACCTCTGCATGAAATTGCTCTCACCATTAAACTGTTACGTCTAGGAAGTGTAGGAGACTTCCTTGGGAAAGCTATAGAGCCGCCTCCGTATGATATGGTCGTGGAAAGCGAGGCAGTGCTTCAGAGTAAGCGTTTCATAAGCCTTATGTTGTATGTTTTGTGGATTGCTCTCTGACAATACGATTCTTTTAGACATGGGAGCTTTGGATCGTCAGCTGGAACTTACAGATCTTGGGCGCATTCTTGCTCGTTTACCCATTGAACCACTACTGGGGAAAACGATAGTTATGGGCGTTGCGTTTGGGTATGTTCATTGTGAGCATTCGTGTTTGTTTTCGGATGGCAATCATGAGATTAGTTCTGTGGTGCCGCATAGAAACTTCAGAGCTTACAGGATCGCAGTGTGGTGCGTAATATCGTGGCGTTCCTTATTTTGCACAAACATCGTAGAGTTCCTCACATAATATCACGAAAATAATTTTTTTTCGTCGTCGTCTTTTTTTTTACTAGCTTTGTTCTGACCATAACCTCATTCCCGTCCCATGAAATGCAAATTGTGGCTTTTGAGCTTTCAGCTTCGTCGGTGCTGAAATCACCCTTTTTCAACCTTGCAAACCAACTTTGGAAGGTGGACTCGCTTGTGGGACTCCCATTCCATCTCAAGCCTCTCGACAGCTTTTTGATCGATGAATGCATCAAAATTATTGGTTCAAAAAAGTTGTTTTCCGCCGCCTTGGTTCCCATTTTCTGAGTCAAGTATTCGATACAGCTGAATTACTGAACAAACCCACACGCATACAACTATACGTAGAGCAGAATAGTACTTTTGAACATTGTGAGCTGTTTTTCTTGTAAAGCAGTCGTCAATTTTATTCAAACGAATAAACATCAACGCGGCGATATTACGTACCATATTCACTTTTTACAAGATTTTTTTTCAGAATTGGTACACTAATGTGTGATATCGCTGCGTCTTCTTCGTTTTCATCGCCATTTGTGCCTCGTGAAAGGGCGCACACTCGATTGAACTCTGCACAGCGCTCATACGCCGGCGATCGTTGGTCGGATCACGTTGCCCTGGTGGGTGCCCAGTTATGAGTATGCTTCTCTTGGATGCTAGTAATTGGAGAAATCCTTTGTAAGAGAGCAGTTATTGCAGCGTTTTGCGGAAATTTCACAAGACATGCGGGGCGCTCCTTAAAGGAATCTTGCGCGGAAAATTCTTGCACTCTTTCCTAACATGAATATGTCAGTTGTGATCACTGGAAATAGCACACAAAGTTTCACGCATGAAGATTCGGTTTCTGAAGAGAAACAAACGTACAAAAACTACACGTTATGGACCATCGAAGGACCAGGAGGCAGAGCCAGGCGAGGCATGGAAAGAAGACGGCGTTTGGCCGGCTACGTACCAGGCGACGCAATGAGAGAATCGGGTTAAAGCGCGCGATTTCGGAGAGTGGAGACAAATCGATCGATGGAATAGGATGGAGTAGAAGTGTAAGATGTGAATGCAACGAAGCAGAAGGCCAGAAAGAGCTTCTAGTGAATGCACTCCAAGAACCAAGTTTGAGCATCCCCGTCGCCAGCATTCGTGAAAGACGTCCGTGGGCAATTCGAACGCGTAGCAGCCTTTTCGAGTTTTCGAATTTCTAATCAAAACGAAAGCAATACTTCAGTTCTTTTCACTATTATCGTGGATAATGAGTCTCAAGCCAGTGATTTATGGCTGAAATAGAATCATGATTTTTCCGCGCAAGATTCCTTTAAGGTTTTGTCATGAGTAGCTTGTCCCCAGCAGTATGTTAAAAGTAGTAGAAAAATAGTTGTACTGGAATTGTTGTACTGTTAAGGGAATGGTCGCAGTAGTACTGCTATACATCACATACATTTTATCCGGGTACAGCCGTCTACACGCACAAGTAATTTCAGATAGCTGTCAATCAAGCCTTTCAACATGCTTCTGAGATGGGTATGCAAGCAGAAACATCGCTATGTAATCGCGTCTCTTTGAGCCAAACTATTCTCAAGATGAGCGCGTGGGTTTTGCTATTTTCTTTGCAATTCCAATGTTTTTTTTTTAAATACGCCCTATTCTATTTGAGACTTTCTAGTGGAATCGAACTGTACCGCAGTATGAGTCATGGCGTTTATTCAAAGCCGGGACTCAAACCCACTTTTTGTCGTATCCAGCTTATTTTAATGGTGTAACATCGAACATATGTGGGGATATGTAACTTTCTCCAGAAACGAACCCGAATAATTTTTTTCTTTATGACGGCGGCTTTGAACACATTGTCTATTGACGAGTTACGTCATTACTCTCAGTCAGTCCAGATAAATGAAATTAGGTTGAATCTTCCTAGATACTGTGATCTTTTTTCGAAAGAAAAACCACCCACAACATGTGGTTAGCTGCGCGAGATTGCTTGGCAAAATCTTTTGAGAATTATTCGTTGATATTTTTTTTGTATTTGCGTCTCGAAAACTATATTTATGAAGGCCTTTTTCCAGTGGGGCGAAGTATCAGCTGATAGATGTTCTCACCAATCAGTGTGGATTTGCTGGGGAATTATTCACTGATGGAGCTTGTGCTCACGAAAGTGACTATGATCTGCTTCTCTCTCTACTCATTGCTGCTTACTATCCGAATATTTGCTATTACAGAGGAAAAAGAAAGGTCAGTGAAGTTTTTCATAAGTTTGTAAAGAAATCAGTCCTCAAAACGTGACGTTTATAATGTAGTACATTATGAACATTTTTAGGGTTCTACCCTATGAAGTACCCTTTGCGATGTTGTATTTTCGAGTAATTTGTTTTCTACTTATTCTTTCTTCCAAATATGAGTACGTGATAACAATAGAGATCTATAAAGTTTTCTTTTCTCGGGCCACATTATCCAAAGAGTTGTACCTTGGAAGATTTTTCGAGCGCTTTCAAATTGTTTGCCAATTGGTACCGAAAACTTCGAGCAGCCCCTCTTGGGCATATTGGCGAGAATTCTTCCCGTTATGTTCATGTTGCATATTGTTCAATAGAGAAGGCGATGCATAGGTGGTGGCAGTAGTCCTTGCATATCTTTGGTCGTAAATGTTTCGATCAAACGGTGGGTAAAAGTGGCCTCCTGAGATAAAGTAATGCCCACCAAGACAGAATATGGTTCTATTCTGTTCACTCGAAAGGACATTGACACTTAACAATTTGTGGAATGTGCCCTTGAACACTTGCTCACAAAGTGTAGAAGGTAAATAATCTGAGCCTGTCCTAGCTACTGATCAAAGCTTACCATACAAGTCGGTGGCTGCCATTGCTTGGCAAACTCTGATTGCCATTTCATGATACTTGGCAGTATAGCACTGATATATCTTTCAGGTCTTCACACTTGAACAAGCTTCAGCCCTCGTTAGTAAATCTTCTGTCTTGACACCATTTCATGGCGACAACTTTGAATTGCCGTCTCCATTGATAGTTTTCACAGAGAAGGTATTTTGTGGAGTCTGAGGCTTTTGTGGTTTTCTCTGAGAAGCATGGACAAAGTACACATTCAGATCCGTACGCGAGTCATCTCTTGTAATCAGCTATCAGTGATTTCGGGTGTTCAGTTGCTGCTGTTCGGTTGTCGCAAAGTTGAATGTATTGGTCAAGACCTTGTGCGTCTCGACGACATGTAAGCATGTTACAGCTGATTTTCTTATTTAGTTCGCAGTCAAGAAATCATCAAAATCAGAAAGAAATATTTGAATTATGCCATGTTAATAAATAATTAATGATAATTCATGGTGAATTTCAGGATTACTCTCAAAATCGATGTGTCAGTAGCAGCGTCAATTGTGGCTTTACGACCTTGCATCGAGGCTATGCTTGTCCGATCATGTATTAATCCGGAATCGCTTATGACAGCGACTGACCAGGGTTAGTCTTACCACATTACATGAATTGCTTACTTTCTGTGAAGTTAGAAGTAAAGTGATTGGAAAACCTACCTGAATGTTTGCTGAATGGAGTATCTCGAAAGATTGGAAAATTTCTTCCTGCAGTGGAATGATTTTGTTTTGTGTACTTCTTCAGTATTCTTGTGTTTTCTGCTAGGAGTTCAGCGTACAAAATTAATCTTTTCATTAAATTTTTAAATTTCATGGATAGTGCCTAGGAAGTTTTCAGATCGGGAGTTGTGCTCATTATTGCGAGAATTATCCTCTCGTGAGTTTTACGCTGGTGGAGGACCAATGAAAGATGACCTACTAACAGATGCCGCCCTGGTACGTGTCTTTTTTCAGTTTTTGAACTTCTCTTAAATGAGTGCAAGGAAGCGACTTTAGAGAAGATAATAGTTCGTGTTGGTATCGCTTTGATAGCGTTTGTGGTCTCCATGTTCAGATGAGATGTGCACTATTCACTTTAGGTGCAGCCAATCACTGCAGGAAGAGGACGTGGAGGACGCTTCGGTGTTGCAGGTACACCTTGAAACGTTGCTTGTAACTTTTACTCGTTCCAAATGGGTCATGTTTTTGTTTGCGTTCTTTTTGCTCAAGCGCGTTCTTGCTGGCGTCAGAACTGGTTTTTTGCTGATACGTTTTTGCTATCCGTTGCGACCCTTGCGAGCAGTTCGAATCCCCAAATGCCCTCAACTTTGAAATGTTGGATATTAAAAGTATCCTTCTAGGCGGACGCGGAGACCGTGGCGGTCCTGGTGGTGGTGGAAG